ATTTTATTATTTAAATTATTAATTATTTAATTTTTCATATAAATATAATAAAATACAGATTTGAGTCGGTTGTCATTAATCATTTAAGATAGTATTTCAGTACGCATGCCTACGTATATAGGGTTATGCTTTACTTTAAGATTCTTTTTTCTATACTTTTAATAGAAGGATTAATTTGTACTTGACAAATGCAACGTAATGAACTCTATTTGTTAGAACAACTTCCATTGAGTCTCTACACCTATCCTTTTGTATTGTGATTCTGTCTTTATGAACCTTTGTTTGTTTTTTGTTTCTTTTCGAAAAATAGGACTTGGCTCAAGATTGCCCCTTTTTTTCTAGGGTTTCTCTAAATTTAAAAGTTATCATTTAGTAAGTTTCCATACCAAAGCTCAATTTAATTAAGTTCATAGTGTCTACCAATTTTGCCATATCTCTTCTTTGTTTTGTGCTTTGAGATTAAGATCTTATTATTATGTTATTATGTCATTCCCTTTTTTCTTTCATTTCTATTCTACTGGAACTGTTAAAGTCATTAGATACCGATTCCTATATTCCTAGAAAAGTGTTTCCTCTTATTTTATTATTTTATTTGATTTCTTGTCTAGCCTCTTTCATCTCTATTGGAGACCCATATTTGGTCTAATCAGAAATCATTCTATCATTTCTGTATCCATAGTTGTTCTACTAGCCTCTTGTATATGTTTTTCTTCGAATCATTTTTCTTGTGCAATTTGGAATACTCGAATGGTCAATTGTTTTCTTTTTTTTTCCTATATTCATTTAGTTTAATTATGAATGACTACAAATGAAAAGTGAATATCTAAGATTCCAATAGTTTACTAAATTCTTATACATGTACAATTTCTGTTATGTGAGCTCGCTTAGCTCAGAGGTTAGAGCATCACATTTGTAATGAGATGATCATTGGTTCGAGTCCGATAGTTGGCTTTTTTCTAGTTTTTTCTATATACATTCTTTGTGTATATACAATAAGGTCCGGATATTGATAGAATCCATCTCATTTGTCATATATTAGTATTTTTCGTATTATAATACTTTAGTAGATATTGCCTCATTTATCATATTTGTCTTTTAGTTCAGTTTTAATTTAGGTTTATGAAATTTCAATAAAATAAACAAAATAAGGAGTCTTTATGTCACATTACCGAGGGCCTCATTTCAAAAAAATACGTCATCCGAGGGCTTTATTGAGACTAACTAGTACAAGGCCTAAAGCTAGGAACGATCTTAAAAATCAATCACGCACTAATAAAAAATCTCAATATCATATTCATTTAAAAGAAAAACAAAAATTGCATTTTCATTATAGTCTTACGGAATGAGAATTGCTTAAATACGTTCGTATCACCACAAAAGCCAAAGGGCTAATAGGTCAAGTTTTACTACAATTACTTGAAAATTCATTTAGATAACATTCATTTTCGATTAGGTATGGCATCAACTATTCCTTAAGCCCACCAATTAGTTAACCATAGACATATTTTAGTTAATGGTCGTATAGTAGATATACCAAGTTATCGCTGTAAACCTTGAGATATTATTACAGTGAAGGATGGACAAAAATCTAGAGTTGTGATTCAAAATTCTCTTAATTCATTTCCCTAGGAGAAACCGCCAAAACATTTTACTCTTCACCCATTCCAATATAAAGGATTGGTCAATCACATAATAGATAGTAAATGGGTTAGCTTGAAAATAAATGAATTGTTAGTTATAGAATATTATTCTCATTAGACTTAAACCTAACTAAAATAACAAGGGTTCAAAGAATTTTATCCCTTGTCGCCTAAGTAAAGAGAAAAAAGGTATAGGTTTGCTTAGGGGATTTTTCTCCCATTGATATATCCTAGAATCAAGGGGCATTTTCATTTCTTGTAGAATTTGACCCACTTTCTCATCAAGCGAAGGGTACAAAATAACTCGGATTGATTTTTCAATCAAAAGTACTATGTGAAATGTTTGGTTTGTTCCTTTTTAGCTATCCCTATGCCATAGGTATAGTGTTTGAATCAATAGAGAACCTTTTCTTCTCTATCTTTATGAATTGATATTATTACATTCCAATTCCTTCCCGACACCTCCTAAGGAAAATCCTAAATTGGATCCTAAATTGATAAGTTATTGTGAGCTTATCCATGTAGCTATGCACTTTTCAAATAAGAATCCATTTTCTAAAAGATCCTAGCTTTTGTGCTTTGATGGGTCTCCAAGATCCTTTCAATGACTTATGTTATTTTGAAAGGATATCTATATGATCCGATAAATTACGTAAGGCACTCGGTAGTAAAAAAATCGAGAAACGTATACGGAAAAGATAGTTCTTTTCTATTCTTTTCTATTCTATTAGTATTAGGTTATAGTATTAGATTAGTATTAGTTAGTGATCCCATCTCGGTGAGTCCTTTCTTCTATGATGAATTATTAGTACCGAGTCTTACATTTTGTCTCTATGGATTGAGTAGAAAGGAGCTCGATGAGAAGAGTATTATACCATAAGAAAATCAAGGAGGTCGGTATCTTTCAAATATATAACATGGATTCTAACAATTCAATATAGTTGGACTCTCATGTCGATCCCAATGAATCATTCCTTTCACGAAAGTAAATCTTTTCCTAGTAGGCAACAGGATAGCAAGTTACAAATTCTATCTCAATAGGATATATATGTATTTTATTTCTATTACCATGAAATTCATAAATCAAGTAGTTAATAAATGAAATAGTTAATGATGGGGTTACCATTATCCTTTTTGTAGTGATGAATCTTGTATGTGTTCCTAAGAAAAGGAATTTGTCCATTTTTCAAGCTCTTAAAGGGGCATGTAAACATATAAGAACTCTTGAATGGAAATGGAAAAGAGATGTAACTCCAGTTCCTTTGAAAATGGTAAGATCTTTGGCATAAGAAGAAGGGGTTGATCTATATCATCTTGACTTAGTTCTGATTTCTCTATTTTTTAAGAATACCGATTCAAGAATATCGAGTCGTGGTCTTCTCCTACCAATATCAAATAGAACATGCTCGAGCAAAATCTTCTTCATATAAAATTTGTTTCATTTACATCGGGAAAATCATATGCGTTTTTTAAACTAGATGCTACAGACTTGAATCCATAGTCAATCCTATTTTTGATAAGAGCGAGTTGACAATTGAATCTAATTTTCCCATTATTTTCCATCCGTAATAGTGTAAAAAGAGGGCCCCACTCTAAGTTGTTCAAAAATAGTGGTGTTGAGTTTCTCTACCCTTTGACTTAGGATTAGTTAGTTCTATTTCTCGATGGGAGTAAGGGAAGAGATATAACTCAATGGTAGATCGTCACCTTGATGGGGTGGGAGTCATCAATTCGAGCCCGACTATCCCTAAACCCAATTTGAGTTTTTCTATTTTGACTTGCCCCCTCCCCGCCGTGATCGAATGAGAATGGATAAGAGGCTCATGGGATTCATGTAAGGGGGTAGGGATGGCCATATTTATTTGAGCAAACTCTAAACAAATATCAAATGCATAGATGCAAGCTTGAAATGAAAGACAATTTTGAATCGGCTTTGTCTACGAACAAGGAAGCTATATGTAATGCAACTAAGAATCTCATAGAGAGTTGAGTCCTCGTATTTTTCCCTCCCGGCCATTATCTTATTCATTTTTAATTAAATATGCAAATGCAATTCTCAAAACTATTTCACATATTTTTTTATGACCAAATGATGTGAAAGGAAAAGAAAGAAAAAATTAGAATGGAAAAATGTCTATTGTCTAATGGATAGGATAAAGGTCTTCTAAACCGTTGGTATAGGTTCGAAATTCTATTGGACGCAATATTTTTCCTTATATATTATTATTTCTTATCAATTATTTTTATTAATTAATAATAATATTATTAATCTAATTATAATAAAGATTAAGAGTAATGAATTTCTTTATACTGTTCTTGAAATAGAAAACATTCCATTTGTTCTTGAATGCCTTCTTTCAAAAAGGCTTCTTCTTATTCCGTAAATGTTTTCATAGAAGATATGATTTCTTAAAATTGAGGTTTACTCATTTTTATGTAGGTATGTAACTCAACGAGAAATTTCCTTGTTAAATTTCTAATGAATCAAGATTACCATTCGTTTCAATATAAATCGTCGTTATCTATTTTGCCATCGTGAACGGGGTAGATTAAGATTGTTTGAGCAACTCACACAATCGTTGACCTCTTGCCAATTGAGTCCGAGTAGCTTTTATCAAGATAAGTGAATTGCACAAAGGCTTCTAATTCTATGAATTGTGCCAATTCCAATTTTAATTTACTAACTACTTGTTTCATAGTCTTAATTTGAGCTACGGATCCTACTTTGAAGACCGAAATACCTATATTAATTGTAGGCTCGATTCCAACATTGAATAGATCGACATATAAGAATATTTATTCATCCGTAATGGAAACTGCATTAGTAGGAATAAAAACCAAAACATCTTTCAATTGGATCTAAATTATTGGTAAAGTAGTCGTACTTCCCTCACCTAAACAAGAACTTGGTTTAGCGACTTGTTCCAAAAGGCGTGAATGCAAATAAAAACATCTCCTGGATAAGCTTCATGATTAGGCAATCTTCGTAATAGAAGAGACATTTAGTAATAAGCTTGTGCTTGTTTGGAAAGATCATCATAAATGATTAAAATGTGTCATTCATGGTATATAAAATATTCAACTAGAAGTCGCTCTCGTATCACGAGTGAGATATTGTAGTGTAGTCGAGGAATCCATAGTTTCAACTACCACAATAGTGTACTCAATTGCTCCTCCTCCTTATAAAGCGAGTTACTACTTGAGCCATAAAATATGCTTTTTGACTAATACCTACATAAACACATATTACATTTTGCCCTTGTTGATTGAGAATCGTATTTGTGGCTACTCGTTGTTTTACTAGTCCGCCTATCCTTAATAATTGATTCTCGCCGATCGCGTCATATAGGAATCATTAAGTCAACAAGCAATAAGTCCTACTTGAAGAGGCACATATACAAAATGCCTCAAAACAATCCTTGGAGTGAGAGATTCAATTAAGTGAGATTCGGAAGATAAAATTGCACCTCGACCATCAATGGGTTTAGCTAAGGCATTTATAACATGACTCGAATACGCCTCACTCATTAATATCCGAGCAACTTTTCTTGATGCTTTTACGAACTTCCCTCTTGTATCATCAAGTCGTCACCCATTAATACAACACCAATATTACTTGATTCCAAATTAAGAGCAATGCCTATCTACCCTCTTCAAATTCTACCAATTCACCTACCATTACTTCATCAAGACCATAAATACGAGCAATGTTATCGCCCACTTGAAGTACGATCCTAGCATTTATAATCTTTACTTCCCTATTATATTGCTCAATATGTTCATGGATAATATTACTAACCTCATTGGCTCAAATGGTCAGCATAAGTATTTCTTAATTTCTCTTTTGGAAAAAAAAATAATGCCTACGAGTAGAAGGACTAATTAGTTATTTCTTTCATGACCCCAACTATGTCAATATTAGCAGTAATAGTATATAAATGTAAGTCATTATTCAAAACTATTTAGAGTTCTTAGAGATCCTCGTAAGGCTTATTAGAAAATCCATTGTTGAACATGATTAATCGCTATTTGTTTTTCAAAATGAATGGTTTTGTTTTTGTAATTTTCTAATTGTTCTAAAGTTTTATAAGCTCAATTAATCAAATTCAATTTTTCTCATTCTATCTTAGAGTATCCATTCACTTAAAATTGATCCACTTCTATTTTCATTTTTTTGTAACCGAGTTCGGGCTTTTTCTAACCGTTCAATGGCTCCTTTGGGTAGTGCTTCTAAATCTTGAATAGGATTCAAAATTCTCTATTTTCAACTATCTAATAAATCAATTAATGAAAGTAGATTATATTTACATTCATTGTAAAACTTCCATCACCCTTTCCCGAACCAAACATGAATCTTTCAATTCATTTGACTCTCACACTCAATTATTTCAATTACATATGGGAAATTCCCATCTCTTTTTTGACTGGAATGATCCTATCCTCTTTTCTCGATTCATTATTCAGATTCCAAAATAAAAATATCAAAACTAATCACTAATCCAAGACTAGAATTTTTGGAGGACTCTTCTGATCAAACAAGTAATTATCAGTAAAGTTGTTTCTTTTTTTCTTTAAATCCAAAGACTTTACTTTATATGTAGGTTATCAATTCAGCATTCGATAGGAATGGTACCCATTTTTCAAAAAAAAAAAAGGTTTCAAATCCTTTTTCGACATAAGTGTTCTCTACCGAAAACAATTTCTAACTATTCATCTTGAATCTCTTTATGTATGTATTAACATATTAGAAGAAAGAGTAACCGACTCTATCTAGATTCAAACGAGTTTGTCTTTAACCATATTAATGGTACCACATTATTGGTTGATAGAGAATCAAAATCTATTTACCAATAAATCACGAAATGCTATGGTTCTTAAACATGATTTCTTAATTTATTCGAAGTAATTTACAAGATCATGCACCTTTATTTTCAAGTTAAATTTCCTAGTTTAAACCAAAAAAAAAAAGTGCAATTGGTTTAATCTAGCCTACTCTTGAAATAAATAACTCGCACACACTCCCTTTCCAAAAAAAATCAATACACCTAGGTCTACACTTAGATTAATTGATTGTTGCTAAAATATTGATATTAAACCCAAAACTCTAGACAGATGACCAATGACCTAGAAAACGAAAGAATAGGTTATATTTTTCATATGATCTCCTCTTCTTTTATAAATCTTATAGAAAGACTATTTATTTATTTATTTAGTAATTTTTCTAGATTATTTTCTATTTATTTTTTTCAATTATAAATTTCTAATTAAGAATAATACTTATTAGAACTTGGTATCAAGTTTTGTTTCAATTGCGAAATATCTCCTTTTTTTCTTACAACACTTTCTTAAAAAAGTTTGGATTGGACTAACTAAGAAAGGGGAAGGAAGAAAGTGAACCGGTATACTAAATCCTCATCCTCAAATTAGTCCTTCACGTTGGGTTATTTTCCCAATAAAAATAAAACTAAATAAGTAATTATGGGAGTGAAATCTTGGTAGAATTCGAAAAAAAATACAGTAAGTACAAGATAATTAAAAAATATATGTATTTTTTATAAGATTAGATTAAAAAAAATCAAATATAGGATTAAACAAAAGGATTTGCAAATAAAAGTGCTAATGCTATAACCAATCCATAAATTGTTAAAGCTTCCATAAAAGCCGGACTAAGCAATAAAGTACCTCGTATTTTTCTCTTTGCCTTAGGTTGTCTCACGATACCTTTTATAGCTTGGCGTAATTACATCAAGATATTCAAAAGCTACGACCATTCTAATGCTCTATTTCACTATGCATAAACTAACCCAATAATTAGGATAAGCACGAAAATTGAAGCTTCTATAAATATGGGTACCCCTAATACATCAAAACTCTTTACCCATGGATAAAGAAAAATCATTTCAACATCAAAAACAATAAAAAAGTAAAACGAACATATAATAACGGATTCGAAATTATAACCAAGCATCACCCATTGATTCTATACCGAATTCATAACTAGAAAGTTTCTCTGGCCCTTTTCTAATTGGAGATAAAAGGCCGGAAATTAGAAATGCCAAAATAGGAATAACACTTGATATTATTAGAAATGCCTAGAAAATATCATATTCGTAAAGCAGAAATATGGGCGCACTCCTATGAATGTGGAAAATATACTAGATTATTCAAGTCAAATTGAAATTCATTGTCAACTCATTCACAATTGTTTTGTTAAAATAATAATTTTTTTTATTGAACTATTTATTTTTGTTTGCTGTGGTTTATGTCTCATTTCAAGACTTTGGACTCTCTATAAAAATCTATATATATATAAAAAAGCGATCGGGTCTATTGAAGTGGGCTTTCTATTTGTTTCGACTTTGTCTTTTGTCCTGAATGATTCTTGCAAGCAAGCTTATGAGAATGCTTTTTTTTTTTTATGAACTAAGCAATTACAATCGGCTAGTTACAAATAACAAATAATACAATAATGAAGAAATAAAAATTATACAATTTTTTTTTGTATTTGAATTTTATTTTTTAGGGCTATACAGATTCGAACTATAAGTATTCTTGATAAAATAGATCAAACTGATTATTATCAAAATTAGTCAAACTATTTCAAAGACCCAACATGCATTTTTTTCATTGGGCTCTTTCATTAACCGATATAAATAATCGGTTAGTCTACCCGAAATCTCTTGATAGGAAGATAAGAAGATGGCTCCATATGCTCTAATTTCTTATTCGGATTCCGATCCGAGAGCACTACCAAAGTGTTTCAAAGAAGGTTATCCTAGACGTAGGTTTGCTTTTGGCTTAGATCAACCTAAGTTAAATGAAGTCTCCATCGACCCCTTTTTACTTAAATAATCCAATATGAAACTTCATACACCTTAAAGTTCATAAGATAGGACGAAAAAAGAATTTTTTGAGGTCTTTATACTCATTATGCCTAGCATTGAATAGACTGAGTATTCCCCTTATCAATATCTTAAATCAATAATGGGTTCTATTGGTTGCCTAAAATCGAATCTAAAAGGGCACCAAAATTGGAGTAAATCTCTTATCAGGCTATTGTTCTTTGGTTCCCTAAAAGTCATGGAGTAAGACATCAACTTCTCAATAAGTTTTATAATTACATAATGTATTACTTTAAAAAACATTGGTGCACGTGTAAATGAGGTGCTCTACGTAACCGAGCTATAGCCCTTGTGCTTGTGATATCTATTTTATCATGTCGATAATTTCTTATCAAGATGAATATGATCCAACATCCTATTTCTTTTATCTCCTTAATCGATATTGATTATAAATAACATTACATTTATAATCCATCGATGTGATGGGTTCCATTTCTTTCTCTTATTTATTATAAATGACCTACTTAACTTAGTGGTTAGAGTATTGCTTTCATACGGCGAGAGTCATTCGTTCAAATCTAGTAGTAGGTATAACTTATTAGACATCGAATCGATGGTGTAACCCTTGTAAAAATCCTTCAACATATAAACTACCAAAATATTTATATATATGGATACGTACTACATGTGGGTGAAATCTATGTGCCATTTTAATGTGATGTTAGTATGCTTGGTGTTTTAGTGAGAATTGATGGGATGACATTCGAAAACTTAGCTAGTTACCATTTATTTCTTATGCTTAGAACATCCCATGAGGTGAGAAAAAAAATTATTCAAAATATAAAGAGTGTCGAAATTTGGGGACTTGTATAAATGATTGGGAAATGCCGAATGTTGGGAGAGGAAATTTACCAAACTTTTTGAAGAAAGGAATGAAAAGTTACTTGAACCAAACTAGCTTAGGGATTTAGTTAGTCTAATTACCCATTTTAAGGACTAAAGGGGACACCTAAGCTCACCATTTATTACATGGGATGACAACTCACCATGATTGACTTTCACATTGCCACCTTGCCTTCCAAAGTTTTCTTTTAGTTTCTACCTGGCTAACTTAATTTAGGACATTTGGCATATTAATTAATGAAACTAAAAAGTGAGTATAAATGTAAGAAAGAGTGGATGGCTTGCCATTTTGGAAACAAAAACCATCACTTACCAAAAGAAAAGGGAGAAACTAAATTGTAAGGAGAGAAAAAAAAAGAAGGAAAGAAAGAAAGAAAAAGGAAAAAGAAGGAAAATATGTTAGTTACTTGAAACTAAGTTATTTAGGGTGTTTAGTTAGTCTAATTCCTTAGTTAGGACACCTAAGCACCTTAATTAAATGCATGGAAGCCAACTCATCACCTTTGACTTCCAAAAATGCCACCTTTCCTTCCAAACCTTTCCTTTGCTTTATACCTGGCCAAATTGATTTAGGACATATGACATAAGTAATAAGGAAGGCAAATGTAAAATATATGTAAGTAAAAAAATGAAACTTAGTCATTTTATGGGAATGAAACCTGTAGCTCTTCCAAAGGAAGAGAAAGACATCATTGAGAGGGAGAGAAATAAGGTAAAGAAAGAGAGAAAAGAGAGGAGAACCAATTGTGAGAAAAGGGAGAGAAAGTCACAAGCAAGGAAAGGGAGAAAAAGAAAAAGAAAGGAAAAGAAAGAAAGGGAAAGTGAAAGAAAAGGTAAAGAAACCTAACCTCATCCAAACTAAGTAAGTGGGTTACCTTTTTCTTGTTTATACTATTTATTTAATCTTTATGCAATTGACTAAACTTGCGTTTAGGTGATGATATGTTATTGTGATTGGTTGTGTTGAGCGATTTACCTTTCAATTCTTATTGGCATGGTTGGTTGTATTGATTGGTTGTGTTGGTTGCCTCCTAAAACTTAGAAAGCGTGGTATATGATTAAATTCATGTTTGTGGGAATGTGAATGATGGAATTGGGCTGACCAAAACATGGTGGGTGAATTTGGGGCTTGTATAGACTTGAATAAAATAGAGAAGGAAGGAAAGAAAAATGAAATTTTAGGGTTCTTTTTTAGTAAACTTTCGTTCCGGAGAGTTATACGAGTCTCCCACACGAGTGTGTCCTTTCTCATGTAATGAAGAAATTAATTTTTCTTGAAGTTAGAGAATTACATGACCTCCCATATAGGTGTGTCTTTGCTCGTGTAATGAAGAAATATATTTTTCTTGAAGTTAAAGAGTTACACGACCTCCCACATGGGAGTGTCTTTGCTCGTGTAATGAAGAAATGTATTTTTCTTGAAGTTAGAGAATTACACGGCCTCTCACATGGGCGTGTCTTTGCTATTGTAATGAAGAAATGTATTTTTCTTGAAGTCGGAGAGTTACACGGT